TGTAGAGAGGTCTACTATAAGAACGGTTTTCAGTGAACACTCAATCGAGATCGGGATTCTGATTCGACCCAATTTTGTTCGACCACAGCTACCTCATAATCGATACCACACTCAAAATCCCGCGCAATTTACCGTACATAGGAAGGGAGGCTTATTCAATTGAGTAATGCGTTGCACGACATTATAAAACCTGCACAATTTCCCGCCCCCCCTCCAATACTATAATAATTATTTCATTGGAAAGCCCCCCCCCCTCCTTTCACTCAAAAGGCGAGTGGTTGAAGGGCGCTGCAGATAGGTCCTACACTTTTCTTTTCATCTGTTGCTTCTGTCCGTCTGACCTTTTCCCTGGTGATAAACAAGGCGGATGTGCTTCTCTTTACTTTACTCAAAAAGCAAACAAACACATTGAATGAAGAAAAAGGTCAGATTGGAAAGGCAGAAAGTTGAAGGTCGGATAGCAACAGCTTTGAGAATCATTACTATGTATATCTTTCAGTTTCATAACACAAAACTGAAAGCGTCGTACATTGCCTTAAAAGTACAGGAAAGCGGAGTCACTTCCAAGAAAAACTATTCGGTCACTGCTGTGTACTTACTCACCTCACACTCAAAAGTTCAGCAAAAACTTGGAAAGAGAAATTGGTGTATGTTTCAAGCGAACAACAACAACCCCCCCCCCCCCAACAAACAACAATAATAACAACAGCAGCCGTAATAATAATAATAATAATAATAATAATAATAATAATAACAACATTGTGAATTTAAACAGCGCCTTAATAAATCCCCAGAAGGCTCTAAGCACTGCATATTCTCATTCAATAGAACACAGATCAAAATAAAGAAAATGCACTTTGTAAGGCAATTTTGTTTTATTTTTGTAAGTGTTTACGACACTAGCAACGCAATACGGTCATAATAAAAATGCCGGAGATTAGAGATGTTACAAGAGAACGACAAACACAAAAAACGGAGGAGAGAAAAGGACACAGATGTTTGACAGGAAAGAAGGAGCAAACCACACCGGAGCACCCGCTAACCACCCACACTACAACAACTACTACTACTACTACTACAACTACTACAACTATCACCACCCCCACCATCACTACTACTACTGCTGCTGCCACTACCACTACTACCACTACTACTACTACTACTACCACCACCACCTACACTACTACTCTACTACTACTGTTACCACTACCGCTACAACTACAACTACTACTACTACTACTACTACTACCACCACCACCCACACTACTACTTTACTACTACTGTCACCACTACCACTACAACTACTGCTACTACTACAACTAACGTGATTTTTCTTTGTAGGGTTCGTGTTAAGTGCCTTTCCCAAGGACACAACGTCGGGTCCGAGAGCCTAACCTGAACCACTAGGCCACCGAAATGTGTTGGTGAGAAGATTTTGCTTCACCGTTCAGTAGGAAAATGCAAATCAAACATAATTTCAAGCACTTATTATGGAAAAAAACAACAATTAATAGAGATGCCTTGGAATATGTATGCTTCCCACTTCAAAAACCCAAAACTAAACAAAAACCCACAAAAATATTATTCCTACCAACTTTCACTTTCTCTTTATCATCCATGTGAACTTTCAAGCAATAAAAAAAGAAAAACTAGTTGGAGTTTTACGGCACTTGCAACACGATTAGGTCAAATATATATATAATAATGAGCTGAAGATTAGAGGTGTTACAAGAGAGTACCAAACACAAAAAAAGAAGAAGTAAAGATAAGGAGGATAGATGTTCAATAGGATAATTAATCTGAAAACAGCATGAAACTGAAATAAAAAACAAAAATACCCAAATGTGTTTGGAATACAGTGAAGTCCACTAAAACTGAACACGATTAATCTGAAAACTGCATGAAACCGAAAGAAAACAAATACAAAAATATTTTTGTTGGTTTTAGTTTAAGAAACCTGTAGAAACCGTTACCCCGGCTAAACCAAAGAAAATCCAGTGGTTCCACAGGTTTCAGTTTCTTCAGCGGACTCCACTGTATTTGTTTTCCAATCTGCACATGGCAGCCAATGTGTATAGTTAGATTTTCTTTAGTGCTGTTAGCACTAGGTGTTCATTGAAATACTTACATCATGACAAAAGCTGTAAAAAGGGAAAAAAAATGTTACACATCCCTCCCTCTCGCCCCCCCCCCCCAAAAAAAGGGAAAAAAAATGTTACACATCCCTCCCTCTCGCCCCCCCCCCCCCCCAAGGCTATCGAGACTAATTACTCCGACAGAAAGCGACAATTTTTTAGCGTGAAGCTTCAATGAAATTTTGTTCTTGTTTAGTTGTGAAAACTTATGATCAACAAAGGTATTATTTGACAGCTGCAGCAAGGAGAAGGCAACCTCTTGATCTTAGTTCTCTGATCCTCTGATCCTCTGATCATCGACTACCATTAATAAGCCAACAAAAATATATGTGGTACCACGTGGTGGGATATGCCCGTCAATTTTGAGCATAAGAGGTTATTGGTGTCATCTTAAAGCCTATTCATTTGTCTTGCTTTTGGTGAAAAAAAAATACCCTTCTATATTGAATAAAAGTCCAGATATTTGCAAATGAAGGAGGTGGGGGTCACCTAGTTTTAGATGTAAAATTAGAGAGAAAATGGTTGCCAAAGATGAGTTATTTTCTTAGCTTGAGAGTCCATTGAAACTAAAAATTAGCATTTTTTTCTTGTGCCTTTAATCAACATATTTCCGTAAACTCCACACAGAAATGTGTTCTTTAAAGGGCACGAAAGGTGTTGAGCCAAAAAACAAAAATTCAAAAAAAATTCACAAACATGCCGAAAAATGCCAGTTTCTTCACTTTGATTATTTTGACGAGTGCCTGATTTCATCATGCTGACTCACATATGGTGCTAAAATAGATACCTAATATCACATTGACATACTAATGGCGTTGACTCCAAATGTTATGGACCCAAAGGCTCAAAAACTAAATGAAATATTAAAACCTGATGAAAGAGAAGAAGAAGATCAGGATAAACTTTAACCCTGTAATGTAAAAATAAAGCACTGTTGGGGTCTGTCAGACCTCCTTATTGTTTAGGCTGTATTTTGGTTTTACAGCACTTGCAACACAATAATAAAATACAAGTGTCAAAGAATAGAGTTACAAGAGAGTAACAAACACAAAAAAAGAAGGAGGGGAGGAAAGGAAAGAAGATGCTTGATAGGAAAGAAAGGAGCAATCCCCAACAGAGCACCCGCCCACAGGCTATGGTCAACCCAGCAAAAGATGTTGGTGTAGATACACCTAGAATAGCATGGACATTGGCTCCTCTACATTGTTAGCAAGATGACATCGCATTGGCTACCCTGTGGTGCTCCCTGTCTGACAGGGTCTTGTTTGCTTTAGTAGAGGTTTTACGGTGCTCACAACTGCATAAGGTCATATGAGCGCCAGAAGATTAGAGGTGTTACAAGAGAGTAACAAACATAAAAAGGAAGGAGGGGAGATAAGGATGATAGATGTTTGATAGAAAAGAAAAAGAAAACCACGCCAGAGCACCCGCCAACCACCCACTGACAGAGTCGTTTTAGTCTTAGTTTTAGTAAGAGTATTACAGCACTTGCAACACAATAAGGTCGTATGACCTAAGTGATGAAGATTCGAGGTATTACAAGAACAAACACAAAAAAGGGGAGAGATAAGGACGATAGTTGTTGGATAGAATAGTAGGAGCAAACCACACCAGAGCACCTGCCAAACACCCACTGACAGGATCTTTACAGTCAGAAGTAGCACAACAGTGTTGAAAAACAATATTTATGAAAAAAGACAGAAAGCGTGAACAATACAACTTATAGAGGAAAACAAATTTTTAAGTATATCATTCATTTATTCAAGTTTGAAAAGTGTGCACTGCAGCACTGATGTTGACATGTTCATAAATAACATTTTCTTAGAGCCATTGCCACCCTAATAAGGCATTGTATTCATCTCAGCCTATCAGAACCAGCAATATTTCTAACACAGTAACAATTTTATAAATTTTCCACAGTTTTACTTATATATATATATATATATATATATAATATATTTTTATGAAGATTAAACATTCAAAATTTCATTTCAAAACAAAAGTGCCGACTTATAATAGTAAAAATATATAACAAGAAGAAAAACCTTTCACCTTAAGTGTGTATATTACTAAACTTTTAATTTTCTTATAATTTCTAACCCTTGTAGGGGAGGGGGGAAGGGGAGGAAAAAAGAGAGAG